GAGAAGCAGCTTTGTTTTCCACTGGATTCCCAATGGAAGACCAGGCCCATCTGCACTGCCATTGGACCTTCAGAGGAAAACTACATCCTTCTACAGGATCCCTGCTCCACCAGAACCACATTTGTCACTCCAGGAGGACTGCAGCCATTATTTAATCAGACTGCTACCAACAGCCTGACCAACAGGGTGTCAGATCATATTTCTGATTCTGTCAGTGTTGTTTTGTATTACTGCATTTTTTTTTCTAATAAAGAATTGTTATTCCTACTCCCATATATTTGCCTGAGAGCCCTCTTAATTTCAAAATCATAATAATTTGGAGGGAGGAGGTTTACATTTTCCATTTCAAGAGAGGCTCCTACCTTCCTTAGCAGATTTCTGTCTTTTCAAACTAAGACAAGGCCCCAGTCCAGCAGCTGTGTGTGGAGATGAGGAATAAGCCCAGCATGTGGTGGTGTCAAGAGTAGAGGTGAATCTGGGGTGAGATGCAGAGGTATCTCCACCTCTGTGGAGAGGTTCTCTGAAGTCCTACAGACAGGAAAGAATTGGAAAAAACTTCATCTCTTTGGAAAGCGTCTCCTTCCTGTGTGCCAGGGAGATCAAGGCCACGTGACCTATAGGTCAAGTGATGTGCCTTGGACTATGGCTGAGAGGCAATAGCATGTTGCCATTTTATTTCAAGTGTAAAGATGTTAAGATGTAAAGATGTTTTGTGTATTCCAGGTCTTGGATGAAGCTAACAGGGATGCTGATCTGAACCATGTGGCCTGCAACCTTGTGAAGAAGCCAGGAAATGTTTACTACATGTACAGGCGGGAGAGTGGGCAGCGGTATTTCTCCATCCTGTCTCCTAAGGTGGGTGGTTACAGGCCATGAAGAAGCAGAGAGAGGAAAAAAGTAATGTTTTTGGTGCTTGGGAACATATGGAGCTCAGACAAAAGCACCAGCTTGATGGGGACATTTGTTTGTCCCTACTCAGGTTTGGTGCTTGCCCTTGCTCTTGGTTAGTCTGCTGGGGCCAGAGCTATTTTATAGTGTTCTCTGGCTTTTGATGGAGAATGGCAAGAAGCCCTCTGGGGCGTGGACCTGGATTTTGTCTTTTGGTACTGCGGTTCTTTGCCTGAAAGTAAAGAACTGACAGTGGGCTCTGAACCTTCCCTTGCTGGTGTGGCTGCCTGGCAGGAGGGTCTCTTCAGGTACTTCAGCCCAGGCAGCTGAAGAGATGATCTTGGAAATCTCCTCCTTCCAGACTACCTGTTTTCTTACATGCAAGGTGGAAGTTTCAGGGCAGGTCAGGGAGATCTTGTGTCCACATGCCTTCCTCTGTCAGCAGTGCTAGAGCTCGACCTGATCTTGGACTTGGGTATCTGACCCTGTATTTAGGTTAGGAAATGGTATGGTCATGTAGCTGGGACTGCTTTGAAGGTAGTAGGGCTGAGAGACAGCACAGCCAAGCTCCAAGGAAACCTGAACACTGATGGAATCTCTCTTTTCTCCACCAGGAATGGGGTACTACTCCCCATGAATTTCTTGGTGCCTATAAGCTCCAGCATGACATGTCCTGGACTCCGTTTGAGAACATAGAGAGACGAGATGCTGAAATAACTGTCCTGGAGAAGCTGCTGAGCCAGCCGGCAGCATTGCCCCTGTGCATGGAGCTCAACTTCCAGGGTGTGACCAAGTGACCACACAGGACCCCCTGAGCAGAGTCCCTGAGTGAGGGGACAGAGTACCTGTACGCTGCCAAAGGCAGGGTGGAAATAGACCAAGAAACAAAAATGCTGATTGCTTTTGTGCTTTAAGAAGTTTAATTCTGCATTCAGTCATACTGGACTTTCTAGTAATTGAATAATTTACTTCATTGACCTATGGCAAGCTGTAGTAAGAGGCAGATGATACCAGGAGGTGTGACTTCCAAGAGTGCTTGGAGCAAAAAGCAGAAATGCTTGGGGCAGATGTGCTAATGTTGTAAAATAATATCTCCTGTCTGCCTGGCTCTGGTGTACCTCGCTGTGAATGTATCAGGTAATGATCTCAGGGCTGGATTTTCCCCCTTATTAAAATGTACATGTTTAGAGAGCTCTGTGGTCTGGAAAGAGTGGTCAAAAGCTTATGCAAAGGGTCTGCTGTGATGAGTCTTCTGGTCTCTGTCCTAGCTGGTCTGAATCCCTGAGCTGGGAACATGAAGCTTTTCTCTGGAAAGAGCATCCCCAAAAGTGCCATGCAGGCTTCAGGTGTTCTTCAGATGATGTGTTTCACATCCTCATGCATTCCCCCTTGGATTTGAGTGCATGAGCTGCTAGGTAGAGGCAGGATACTGGATGACTTTATGCCAGAGCAGTGGGGAGAGTAAAATAAACCATGATCTCACAGGTACCACCAAGACAGGCCCTGTGTTCTTCCTGCGTGGCAAAAATACCTTTAGCTTTGCCAGGAAGACTTAGTGGCATGTGGAGCTAGTAGGATACCCCCAGCGTAATTTTTCCATCTAGAAAAACTAGGGAGAAGTAAAGATCAGAGCTGCTGAGGAGATATCCTCCCTCTGCCAAGCCACACAGGGCTTCTTCAGGAACTTGCCTGCTTTTCTGTGAGGAGCCAAAGTTGGAATTTATTGACAGAGAGGATGTCCAGGTTGGATCCTGGTATGTAACATTAGATCTGGTTGGATTCTCCCATGACTTGCTCACTTTTCTAACATGACAAGATGATCTTGTATGCTACTCCAGGCATTGCATGTACACAATCACCTTGCCACCTCCATGGGCAACATGGGAGAGTTGGGGACCACTTGTAGGAGCTGAATTCTGACCTTGGGATCTGGGCCAGCTATGGATGGATTTCATGCTTCTTGGTGGAGCCTGATTGTGAGCGCATCTACAAAAACAAGATCCTTGGGGACCAGCACTGTCACTGTGTTTTGCCATTGCTGGAATTTATTCCCCTTTTGCAGGACACAGCCTTACCTCAAGTCTCTAGCATTCCTCTGTCCTCATCCCCATGCACTGGGAGTTTGCCTTGGGAGATGCTCAAGGCTGCTGGCGGTGACAGTTCCTCATGGGAAGAGCTGTTTCCTACTGGTGTTACAGAGGATTGGAAGGTTTGGAGCAGCTCCCTAGCCCAGGATTTTTTGTCCCAGATTTTCTTCTCCTAGCTCTGTCCGGTGCAGTAGCTCACCTACATCCCCGCATGGCTGAGCCTCTGTTTGGCAGAAACCTGTTCCTTGGATTCAATATGAGGCTTTTTTTTCCATATCTTTCCTCACTTGGAGCACAAGGACATATTAACAGGAATTTGTTATTAGTAGTAGTAGTATTAGACCAGGCTATAATTAATTCCATAACAAGTTACAGGTGCTGAATTTGACAGGGTTTTTCTCTGCTTGTTTCACTGCCTTGAGTCTGATTTTACTGCATGGTATTATATCTTAACTTGGAAGGGATAAAGTTAATTACTGCATGGACTTTGTGTGGTTCACGTGTGTTGATTTATGCTCCTCTGGGAAGTGAGGATTCTTGCCCTGGTTTTATCTGTTTCCATCATTAATATCTGTACCATGGCATGCACAAGAGGCTTGAGGAGTGGTGGTTGTGGACCTCTGTAGCTTATGGTGGGATGTCATGTGTGTCTAGCAGACACCCCTGGCCCTCCATAGCCCACAAGTCACTAGTATTCTGCAGTTCTTCTAGGCACTGTCAAGTCTTTCTCTTGTGAAAAGACAAAGGAGGCCTCAAGAGACGGGACATGGAGGTAATGAGCTCATAGTCATCCTCATCCTTGGCATCCTCATTCCTTTGCACTGTGGGAAGTGGGGAATGAGGCTGGTGCAGGGAGCAGTTGATGGAAAGGGGGAACCATTCCCTCAATATTGCTTATGCACTGTTGAAGTGTAATTAAAGTCAAAGAACTGTGAGGCATCATCAGAAATACTGGAAGGTGCTCTAGAGCCAAAGCAAAACATAATCTGGAACACAGACAAGGATGAAGCTGGTTGAGGTGGAGCCTCATGTGATGCTTGCATCAAGAATGAGTTTCTGGAGGAATGATGAGATGGTGCCTTGTGGGAGACTCCAGGGTCTCTCCAGGTTCTTGTTCTCATCCACTCGGCTCAGCCTCTACCCAGCTGGAACATTTGTGCTTGACAGGGCAGGGATTTCATCGAAAATCATCTGGAAGAGACAGTGAGACACTGATATCCACTCATGATTTCATCTTGAAAATTCTTTTGAAAATGTTCCTCTTCCTTTGCTCTTTTGTGAGTGCTCCGGGCAGCAGTGAGCATATTTGGAAGGCAGTGGCTCTTTCCAGAATCCCCAGGGATGTAGAATATTTGCAGAAGGCACAGATATGCTTCTGACACCATTACATTGGGCAGAGTGGATTGTGTCCTGTCTTTGGCCATGCAGATGGACCAGGGCTCATTTAAGAAGTCCAATGCAAAGATGGTTTGAGGGTTTGACCTATTCCATGTGCTCTCCAGAGACAGTGTTTGGTGACTTGAAGCTGCTGGCATAGGTACTTGCAGCTTTTTCCAACTTTTAATATTTGAATTGCTCTGTAGTTTACTGTTTCAGGCCAGATTTTTGCTTTGCTTCTCAAAGTAGTTGTGCCTGGAGATTTTCTTTCCGGCCTCTTGTTCCTGAATGATGGGGGTGGTTAGGGGGATTTAACTTGCCATAAGTACCCTCTGCTCTGGGGTGTCATCTCCCAGCCATGAGGAGTGCCCCAACAGGATGAACTGTGGATCTTTGGCCCTTCTTATGTCGGCTTCAGGTCCAGGGAGAAAAGACAAAAAACCAAAAAAAAACACGAAAAAAACAAGAAAACAAAAAAAACAAAAAGCAAACCACACCAAACCAAACCTAGAGGGAGCCTGGGCGCTGTGCCGGCGAACCTCACATCCGGCAGGCCGTGCCCGCGCGCGCCCCCTGACGCTGCGCGCAGCGCGCTGCGAGCCGCGGCGCATGGCCGGCAGGGGGCGTCCTAGCTGGCACGCCCCTCACCAGCGCGCTGCGCGGTGACGTCAATCGACTGCCCCTGTGCCTGCGCCGAGGAGACCCCGCAGTGAGCTGCCAACGCCCGGCGGAGCGTCCGAGGTGAGAGTGGGGGGGCGGGGGAGGGGGGCGGAGACGGGACTGGGACCCCCGGCCGAGCTCCGGGACCTCCGGCCGAGCTCCGGGACCTCCGGCCGGTTCTGCTCTCCGCGCGCACCCACCAATAGAGCCCTGGCCTTCACCTCGGCCGGGGCGCCCGCTGTGCGTGCGGGGCCTCCCCGGCAGCCGCCTGCCGGGGGGAAGGGCGGCCTCCTCCCGGCGGGTCCCGGTGGCTGCTGGCGGACGCTTGCCTTTGTGGGCCTGGTCTGTTGAGGTGGTCGGCATGGCCGCCGCTTCTCCTGCCCACCCTTCCCCCGCTTCCGGGCGGCCGTCGGACTGGACCCTCGGAACGGCGCAGGAAGCGTTCTCGCAGCCATGGCGGGGCCCGCCCGCACTCCCTTGCCCCTGCCCGTCCCAGCCCCGCCCTGCCCGTCCCGGCCTCAGCCGCGGCCCTCCGCACTCGGTGCAGTCCGGCTGCGCTCGGGGCTGTGGGAGAAGCCTCGAGGGGCTGCGGGCACAGCAGCCCTGAACCGCAGCGGGGTGTGGGCATGGCGAGGAGTTGAGCTCTAGCTATGTGCCCTGCACAGACAGCGCTCAGTCGAGAAGTCGCAGACTCTTCTGGGTATCTGCCTCACGAGCTGCAGTGCTGTGGGTTATCCAAAGCTGTCCCACAGCTTTCGTTACATCGTGATGCCTCTGGCTGTAGCTGGGCCAGGAGCTAGCACTGCTTCAAAGGTTGGTGTTGACATATGTTTTTCATTCTCCTTGGAAATCTCATAAAAATGTACATACTGCAGAATCATAACTCCTGTCTCTGTTTTAAAGGTCTGGTTTAGTGATCTAGATTTCAGTTCCGTATCTGTAAGTAGATAGAACTTGCAGCTGGTGACAGCAGTAGGAGACAGTTGCAGAGCCAGGTAGCTGTGAAGACCTAGCATTGGAAACCTATGCTTAACAAAGAATGGTCGGGATTCCTGTTGTCCTTTCTGTGTGGATGCTGTGGCCAGGGCAGCCAGAGATCCTGTCTTGACAGCAGCATGAGGAAGACAAGCCCTGGCAAAGAGGCCGTGTTAGATGGCAACTGAGTGATCAGACATGGTAACTGGATGATCAGAACTGGCTGCTTGGTCTGGCCATCTATGATTGTCTTTGTGCTTCTCTCCCAGGAAAGGAGGTGTGGGCTGTTCAAAATATTGAGTTGCAGCGCCCAAAAGCTTTATTTTTTTTTCCGGAAGGGGCATTTAAAAACTGCATCAAGCTCATTGTATTGCTGATTGGGATAACTCAGTAAAGCATTACAGCTTCTGTTTTTCTGTAAGCAAATTATATTCAGCTGGCTGAATGTGAGGAAGTTGTATGTGAAGAAGCTGTTCTAAATTTCCCTTCTGTTGTAAACTTCTGCTTTGTACTCTTGTTAGTGTAAGGTTCTGAGGAAGATAATATAGGCAACTATATTTGAGTCAGGTCTTAGGCATGTATGGTTTGAATAAGTATATTGCCGACTGTAAAAATGGTTTGGTGTTTAAACTGTTCTCATTTATGCTTCAGTAACAACAACAACAAAAAAACTAAGTCTTGGCAAGGAATAAAAAATTACTGTGGTGCAAGATAAAACATGTTTTCACTTTGGTAACATATCCGAGGCAGAAATTTTAATCACTAAATTTGCATACTTTGAACTTGGTTATTCATGACCTGCAACTGATGTTCTGAATCATTAAGTGCTCTGCTTTAGGGTTGTTTGCCTAAAACTGATGACTGGGAAGTTCATGATGTTTTTACTGTTTAAATAGAAAAGCTCTGGAAGCTCTAGAGTGTGAAGTACCTAAAACTGAAACTGTCATTCTGCTAAAAGGCAACGGTAAACATAAATGGAGCCCCTGTGAAGCTCCCAGGGATTTCTCTTATAAGTGTTCTGTGGGCTTTCCTTGCTGTAAACCCTGTGTGAGGCTGATGGAAAGTGCAGCATGAAGCTAGCCACTAATCTTGATGTAAAGCTTCTTTTTCATTAAAATGTAGATGTAGTACTAAAGTAATTTTCCAAGTTTTATGAGCATAGATAGCTGGACCTTACAATTAAAACCTTTTCAGCAGCTCTCTTGTTACCATGGGGGTTGGTTGGTGTACCTGGGTTCCAGCTCTGCTGTTAGCTCCGGAAGACTCGGACAATAAATGAACATGCTGCACTACAGCTGAGGTTTGTGTAAGATGTTGCAGGTGAGATGTGTATAATCTGCTTGATGCCCATGTGAGTGCTCACAGCTTTTAAAAGTTGTTTGTGGGCTTGTGTTTTTGATCCTGCTCATTCCTCTGCCTGCCCTTTGTGGTCAGGAGAGCTGAGCTCTCCTGCTGTCATTTGGCTCCATCATGAATTTATGATACGAGTTTCTGGAGCAAGAGACAGTTAGGAGGAATTGTAGAGGGTTTAGTTATCATTGCTCTTTAGGAAAAGATTCTTTGCTGAGGAAAGAATGACATATTTCTCATTTTAGAAGATGAAAGTTCTGTCAAATCAAATGGAAGTGGAATTGGTTTCTGGTGCTTCAGGTAGCAAGAAGCTCTCTAACCACTTAGTCTTCTTCCTTGGTTCCTTTCACTCCCTTACATTAAATGTAGGTGAAAGCACCCTATATTCAATAGTTAATATATGACAAATAAAACAATTTATTGACCAGATAAGCTTTTATGCAAAGTTTTAAGAGAAATTTAAAGTACCTTTACATTTCTGCAGCCTGTCACCATTTAATTATCTGGCTTCTCCCAGACCCTACACTTTATTACGGTTTGACACGATACAAGCTAAGTGTATATCCCTCAGGAAGGACTGCCATTAGGAGTGGTAGGTAAAAAAAATCCCTTTCCCCAGAGTTTTTGCAAGGGCTGAAGCTTGGCACAAAAGTTCTCCCTCTCTGAGGTTGTTTGGCCACCCCAACATAGTGGTCAGCTGCCCCTTGCAGCCCATGGTGTGTATGTTAATACCTGAGGTGAGTGACAGGAATGGCATTAAGGCAGGTAATTCCCAGCTTCTGGTGGGGGATCCTTTAGGTTGCTTTTGAGTGGATGAACTGAATTTGATTACCTGGCCCTGGGTGTGCAGAAAACTGCAAACAGAGCAAGAAGCAGAGTTTGTGGAATTAATCTTTGTAATCTCCCCTTGGAGTTCCAAAGAATGACTCTGACCTAAAGAGTTGTAAACCTTCATAATACTAATTGGCCTGTTTTCAGTAGAGTGATGTTGAGAGTGTTGATTTTTCTTCTAAACAAGTGATATTTTATAAAGAGAACACAAAAAATTTGTTTTCAAAAGCTTTTAAAAGCTGTTATTCTGTTTTAAGCTCTTGTACTGCCAGTTCACTCCATTACTTTAGAGTGTTGTGGCATAATTCCTACCAGGAGATTTGGTCCATGCACCATTTTATTGTCTCATGAAAAACCAATACAGAAGCTTTTTAAATTAAGTAACATGAGGTCTTCCTTGGGGCCTTTGTCTGGAGAGGGTGTGTAGGTACTTCCAGCTACATTTTTGCCAAGTTGTCCATGCCTATGATCAGATTGTGTGGGATCAGCATGTGTTTTCCATCATAGACCAAACACTGGCGGGTGAAGGTTTTCACTAGGCTGAGGTGGTGTTAGAGCAAGCCTTAGGCTGCTGTGGATTGGGACCAGTAGAGACCCTGGGGGAATTGCGGAGGATTGCTGTGGCATGCATTGTTAGAGTCACAGCAGTAGCTGAGGCTGCCAGAATTGTCTTGCTTTGGAACAAGCTGGTTTGAATTGCTCAGCTCTTCTCAAGTTGAAGGATGCTGTGCTGTTTTTCTGGCCAATGAGTATTCTGTTAGGGGAAATAATGACAAAAGTGCTCCTGCAGCTTTGTATGCAAGTCAGGAAAGCCTCTGCCACTTGATGAGCTGGATGACTGTGCATGCCAAAGAGTGGCTGGGGAACAGCTGAATGCAGAGGAGCTTGGGTCTGACTGCATCAGTATGTTTGAGCAGTTGCCTTGAGTTCAGTGGTGCTTCAGGGTTTAGTGCATATGAAGTGTTGGTGAGTCTTCCATGTCCTGGAGTGCTGTTACTTTTTTGTGAGCCTCTTGTGCATCTGGCCATGGCTGAGTAACTGCCAGTTTCCCAGCAGGCTCTTGGTCTTGAGAAGGGGGATGCTAAGGCTCATCTTGGGCTGGGCAAAGTGGGATGGTTCCAGCTGCTCTGTTTGCTTCTGTTGGTTAGGTGAATGAAGGGCAGCTCCCCTGCTGCTCTCATGGTGTTGGTGAGCCTTCCAGCTACTTTCTTTTAACAGTGATCCAGGATAGCTCAGTATCTGAAAAAAGTTGCTTTTGCAGTGTTTTGTAACCATGCTTTATCTTTGGAGTCTTCAAACAGCATCTTGGTACACAGCCTGAACTATTCTCCCTGAACACAGTGCACCTTCCTAGAAACTTTCTGTTTGTGTGGATGGAGGACCTGCAGCTGTCCTGTTCCCTGAGCATAACAGGAGTAAGTAGGATCTGCTGCAGTGTGCAAGACAGGGTGCTTCTCATGAAGGAAAAACATGCCTCAAAATAGAGGAACTTCTGTCAATGTCTTTTCTACCTCTGTTGAATATAACTGGCCACAGGAAAATGGGGAGAACCATCAGGGCCACATGGGCCTTGGTTGGATGCTGTGTTCAAATAAGAGTGTAGGTGCAGGTTGTATTTGTAAATATTATCAGTATGCAACTAAGTTAGTGAAAATAGGGGTTTTTAAGTGGTAGTAAAATACTGAACAGGATTTTGTTGCATGGTTGAGGAATACAGCCTCCTGTAGAGTATGAAAGTGAAGAGTAGTAAGATAAGATTAAAATGGCTTTGGCAGAAAAGGACTTAATGTAACCCCACACAGGTCCCAGTGCTTAATCTGGGGCAGGTTTTTCCAGTGGTAATCACAGAATAATGAGGTTGGAAGAGGCCTCTAAGATAATCAGGTCCAACCTATGCCCTAACACCACAACTAGACTATAGCATC